GGTGTCCTTCTGCCATTCACTTCCAGCCTCTTTCTCTCAGAGTTACCCAGATTTCTGTGTGCAGTGGACATGTGAACATCCATCAGTGCCAGGAAAGTCCACTGGGGAGTTGTTAACACCTTTGTCAGCTCTTGACGGATTTATACTCACCACTTTGATAGCAGGTCGGCAATCATGGCCACATCCATTGCTGCAGCATTTCATTCCCTTGGGACATGAGTAATCTCCTGAGCAGCCTTCAGCACAAGCCCCACCCGTATCTTTGGGAACCTTGGGGCAGAGTCCAGGTCTGTTTCCCCCTGAAACATACAATGGTGTTTGTGGAGTCTGAATAGTCACTAACCAGGTATGAAAACTGCTGTTAGAGGTCGAGTGGCTCACTTCTGGCAGGACTCCCACCTCTTTCATTTCTTCCTTTGTACTCCTGGACCCTCCCTCAGCCTTGGCAGTTCCACCCTCACACTGAAGCCCCCATTTTCACAGTCAGGCCCTTAGGAGACTGTTCTCCCAGGTGCAAAGGCTGCCCAGTTCTGTAGGCAGGAAACCTGCTCTGTCATAAGCCTCTTCTTTCCACCTGAGAAGAAGATATTAGAAACATCTCTGATCCCAGACTTCCGTCTTCCCACCTCACACGTACCCCATGTTCATCTCAGAGCTACTCCATGTTGGAGCCCTACATCAAAGGCACATCTAGAGAGAGCCCCAACTTTTAATAAGGCCCAACCTGATCTGATAAGAATAATGGGGCCCTGTCCGGTGTGGATCAGTGGGTTAGAGCATCGCCCCACATACTGAAAGTTTGCAGGTTCAATCCCCACTCAGGGCACGTATGGTAGACAACCAATAGATGTCCCCTCTTCTTCTTCTCTCTCTCTCTCTCTCTCTCTCTCTCTCTCTCTCTCTCTCTCTCTCTCTCTCTCTCTCCCTCTCTCTTGTCAATAAGCATGTCCTGGGATTACGATTTAGAAAAAGTAGAAGAAGAATGGGAAACGCAGGGTGATCACTCCTGAAGGTTAAAGAAAGTGGGTCTGATCAATGCCAAATCTCCACTCTGCAGCCTGTTCCTGTGCCCCACCATCCCAGGTAAGAAGCTGGGCTCTGAGCCTCCTCTACTCTCAGGTAGGACCCCCTCAGCACCCTTACCTCCAGGAGGACGTTTCTGAGCAAAGGCCATCTCCATCCCCAAGATGACAAAAGCCACTAGAACAACGACTGTGCCTGTCTTCATGTTGGCCTTTGATGTGAATGCACACACTGAGCCCAGCCCCAATTTATACCCCCAGTGACACCAGAGAGGAGTGTGGGGTGGGCCAATAGAACAGGAAATGTACAACATGATCTAGTTAGTTTGTTCTATTTCATAACTGGTTTCTCTCTAATTACGGTACGTTTTCTTGTAGAAGCAAATCCAAACAGGAGAGTTCAGGCATTGCTACATTAAAACTTGGCACTGTTTTCCCTGGTTTCATTAGAAAAAGTGGCCAAAGAAAAGAATTTTCGGTGTATAACTTAGAATTTCAGAGTAAGAGCTTAAACTATGCAGGTTGGTGTTATTCCACCTGGTGCCTCCTGGAGGTCCCATTCCAGGAGGACTCCATGTGCTTCTGGGAGAGATGGTGAACAGGTTGTGCTT